CATAGCCCTTTGGCCAGTCTGGGTCAGCTGTCCTGGCTATGCTCCCTCCCAGCTTCTTGTGCACCTCCTTGCTGGCAGAGCATGGGAAGCTGAAAAGTCCTTGACTTAGTGTAAGCACTGCTTAGCAACAACTAAAACATCAGTGTGTTATCAACATTATAACATTATTCTCTTCCTAAATCCAAAACACAGCGCTACATCAGCTACTAGGAAGAAAATTAACTTTATCCCAGCCGAAACCAGGGCGTGAAGTGTGGAAAGAGAACTGATCCTTTGGCAGGGTGGGACTGGGGGTCTTGGGGGGCTGCCTTCCCTGTGGTGTTACGCAGGCAGCATCCGCAGTGTATTTTTGAGACTTCTTGGGGCTGATGAGTTTCAAAAGATACAAGGCCACAAAAAAAAGCATGAGTTTCTGTTTGCATAAGTTTAATGAGCCCTTACTAAAGGTTTGGTGCATAGACTCCGACCTGTTTCACTTCAAGTGTCAGGTATGTTTGAACTTTAAGTGAAACATTAGCTAACACATGTCTGGATTTTTTCCTTCAAGAGGCCCTAAGTTTCCAAATATTTTCTGGGATGTGGGTCCTTTACTCATGTTTTTCATGACTAGATTCTGACAACTTTTGGCTGTGAAACTTTCAGTGTCTTGGAGCAAGTAGCAAGGCTGGATTCAGCCAATCATGTGAGGGGGAGAATGTGTCTATCCCCTAAAGCTGGCTGCCCTCCTGGGGGAGGACTTAAACTTTAAGCCACACGTTTACTAAAATGAACTGCTAGCAAGTGGAGATGTTTTGGTGTCTGCTATGGGGAGATGAGGGGTAGTGTGTGTTAAATCGGTGCACTTGAGGAAAAAGGATGGATAACAAGCTAGTTGTTTCCCCTGCCCCCTTTGTTTTATGACCCCTTTTAAAATTAAATAGGGAAGATAAACTGCTGGAAGCTAAACTTGCTCACCTCAAATGAAAAAGGGAAAGGCAATGTCTGCATCATGATTTCAGTCCATTTAGTAGCTATACTAGAAGTAAAAATGTGTTCAGGTGAGTACCCTCAAATAGTAGGATCTCTTTTTTTCCTGACAGCAAAATTTGGAGGATTTCATCAAGAGAAACAATTGTACAGTGAAGCTGATGAGACACAGCTGTCAAATCCACTAAGTAAGCACTTTCAAAAGTTAATGAAAAATTATCTTTTTTTTTTTTTCATTTTGCATGTGTGTTTGGAAAAGAAAGGAACTTATTAGTTGGTATGGTGGAAGGGATAAAACAACTATATATTTCTATATTTTGGTTATTACCTATTACAAATTCACTAAATCTAAAAGATGCTGCTGGACATTGCCCACCTCCGCTCCATCCCTGTGTGTATGAATGTTTTGGCAGAGTCTCCTGTAAACAGGATGTGGAGCTGTCGGAGCCCTGTTTGACTGCGGTTGTCGGTGTTTTGGAAAGCGTGTGGACAAATTATAGCGGCTTGCATTGCGTGTGTACACGTGCGCAACCTTCCTCCTTTTCTTCTCCTGAGATGCTAGTTTGAACTTGATCGCAAAGATGAAATGCTCTGGATTAAACACAGCATGTAATACTGCCTTTTGGGTTTTGCCATCACTGTGTCACTTATACTGTGATGTTAATCTTGAATTGTTTGGAATAGCCTGAGAGCTGACTATTACTCTGTGTTTCTTGGTAGCACTATGTGAACAATGCATTAATGATGCCTTACTATGCATGTTATTCTGGTTTTGAAAAAACAAGCATTGTTCTGATGCAGAGTTGAGATGCAGACCCTGATACATAAACCCTCCTGAAATGGAGACACACTTCAGTGGAGAATCTCTAAATGGGATGCTTGAATGGTCTTTTCCCAAGTAAATATTGCCTCTTACTTAGTTTCAAGAAACATGGCACACAGCTGCTCTTTACTCCTTGTTGTAAAATAATGGGCCATTTGCTGACTGAAGCAAGCTATTGGCGTTATTGCTAGCAGCTGCTGAACTCTTAGTGTTAACTTAAACAGCTCATAAATGTTAATCATGTTGCAGTTTTGTTAGAGCTTGTCTGCATATCCCAGAGGCACTAGCTAGTATGTCACACTTTTTTCACATGAACTGATGACATTTCTTAGTGGAGATTCCAAATAGTAACTTCATAATTCAGTAGTTTTACTGTGGTGGCTGAAGTTTCTTCAAAACTGCACTTTTAACTACAGCTTCATTAGTACCAGTATAGTTTTATTTAGACGTGTTTCAGTAGGCTTAAAGCTGCTGAGCATGTGGTGGAATGAGTACGCAGTCGAAAGGAATATGCTGTCTGCTTACTGACCTGTCTGGAGATCTGTGACAAAGTCAAATTCAAATCTAAACTGAACAAAATCTGTTCAGTTTATCCCATGCTTTGGTTTAAAGTCACTTTCATATTGTGATGGTCTTGCTGCTATACAAGTGTGATAATTTTACAGGAAATGTAAGGGTTGCTGTAGAAATGTGTGTTATCTGCATAATAAGCAATTAAATAATGTGCTGTGGCCTTTTAACAGCCCCTCCCACTCTTCAGCCAGTGGGACTGTGTTCTTAAAAACAAGACAAAGCTCCCAAACAAACTAATCCTTTCCTTCCTTCAGGTCAGATTCTGCTAGTGTTCTCTGTAGAAAACACTGGTAAGGTCCCAGAACCTGGTTTTGAGCCTGTCAAAATGATTGTAAATATAGCACTAACGAAAGCATAGATAACGAAGTAAAAGCTGCTGTATTATTATAGGAGTTTAACTTTTTTATTTTAATCATTGTGAAGGTCCGAAAGAGGACAGTGTTGTTGCTAGTGCATGCTATATAGAGAAATTATGCTTACTGCATCTAAAATCAGTTCTCTCATCCTTCCTTTTATGTGAGCATCCAGTGGAACTTTTTCCTCTCTAGGGCAGTGGTATATGTCTACCAGAACTGCACTTTGTGTCTAGAGGCTATACTCCCTACCAAAATACTCGAAATTGCAGTTAGTCTAGGCTTCTAGTATCAGCCTGTGAACACAGGTTAACCTAACTACAACATGACCATTCCCATACAAAGCTATATACTCTCTGCTGTGTATTTGGATGGTGCTCTGGTTGTGTGCATGTATGCTGTTCCTCTTCAGGGTTCTCTCCTGGCTGCTTGCAGAGGAATTTCTGTCCCTGAAGAGACGTGCAGGACAGGGACAAGTATTGTGGACTGTTGCTAAACGGATCCTATCCTGTAAGGTGAGAGGTCCCAACTTGAGCTGGAACCTCTTAGACTTTACAAGATAGACTTCATGCAAGGAAGTATAGTTTAGAGTGTGGAAGATCATAAACAGGACTGTGTTTTGTGGTTGCTAAAGTATAAAACCAAAGGTACGTAAGGCTAACATTACAACATACAGAAATTTGTGCGCAAGGGTTTGATCTCAAAACATTCAGTCATCTTATCTCCAAGGACAGGAGTAAATGTCACTCTTCTTTAAGTAGGTGGATGTGAGAATTTGTTTCTGGACTTGCTCCTAAAAGCCTGAAGAAAGATTGGATAGTACACAATCTAGTAGTTTTCGGTTAGAAATGAAACAGAAAACTCTCTGGGAAAGTAGAGGGGATTCCAGATTGTGTGAGTGTGTGGTTAAATTAGAATTGCATGACTGATGTTTTGGGAAAGGCATAATTGTAAAAAGAATTTTGGATTTTAAAAACTTTTGAGATCACTTATTTGTAAAGAAGTGGTGTAGTTCATTACAGATAGCATGACCATCCAGTCAGTGCTGGTCGCATCTTTTTCAGTGCTTTTCAGTTGGTTTCTAGTTCTTTCTCTTTTTTCCCCCCTCCCTTTCTCCAAAAGGTCCACCTGAAAATGCTACTGTTGCCCTTCAGTTCTGTCCTGTGTACATGAATGTCTCATGCAGCAGATAGACAGCTTGCTGAGATTAGATACAACCTCAAATACCCAGAGTAGTACTTAAATGAAAAAAGAAAGAAGAAAAACCCCAAACTGATTTAATGTCTCAGTGACAACTGTATGTGCCTTGTTTTGAGTCTGAAAGTAACTTGTGCTGCATTTTTAAACTGACAGAATAGAAGCATACTCAAATGACTGAGTTCAAGGAATGAGTTAAGAAAATGGTGACCTGAATTTTGGTTCTCTTCAAAATTCCTTCCAGAAATGCCTTATTGTGGCTGCGCTCTAAGTTAAAACTTAAGGTTTTTTTGACCACATGCATATATTTGGGCTTTGGTGTGAATGGGATGCTGATGAAAAGCATAAATGACTTGATGAAAGTTGTCTGACATGTAGAAAGCTGTGTACGTGACAAATCTTGGCTACTGCTATAGTCCTAAGGCTGATCTCAGAGATCAATCTCTGGACCAAAAAATGAAATGGACAAAGAAATGAATCCTGCTGAGTAAGAAGCTTTCCTTGGTTTTGTTTGATAATTCTGTAACCCTACTCAAAAGTCTGAATGGATGACTTAAATGTTGTTCCAGATCTCTGATTGTTCCAAGTCTCTGAGCAAAGGCATAAATTGATCTTAAACATGAAGTGCTGCATTCAAGGATTTTACTTGGGCTTTGTAAATTTCAAGAAAGCAATAGTTAAATGAGCTGGCAGAACTTAGAAGCAGTGTATGGTGTACACTGTTAAGTATTTCTTTGCAACTGTACAGTTTGAAACCTTTGGCTAGTGAACTGCCAAAGAAGTGATTGCGTATCCAGGTAGAGAGGTACATCACTAGTACCATCTTTCATATTACTTGCGTGACTCATGAGTAGGAAGAGACACTCAAGTTTATTAGGGAGTAACTTGTGTGTTAGTAGGTAAGTTGTGTGGGGAGAAGGAAAGCAGTCAAGAACTGAAATATGAAAAGGTGCAAAAGAAGGGTTGTCAGAAGTACTAATCACTCTTTTTTTGTTTGGTTGTTTTTTTTCACTTGCAGACCTTCAAGTGCTGACCTTCTCGGTCTATTAAGTTATTATAAACTTTTGCTGCTCTGCGAACATATAAAGATGTCTCGCAGCCCTGATGCTAAGGAAGACCCTGTGGAATGCCCCCTTTGCATGGAGCCTCTGGAAATTGATGACATCAACTTCTTCCCTTGCACCTGTGGCTACCAAATCTGTCGTTTCTGTTGGCATCGTATCCGCACTGATGAGAATGGACTTTGTCCTGCTTGCAGAAAGGTAAATATCCTGGAACAGCGGCTTGTCTTGCACATATCACACGGCTCTTGCATTGTGTTGGTACCAAAGACATCCTTTTCCTTCGGGAAAACATTCATCTAGTCATGGCCTAGATCAAGGGTGAGGTGTTGGATCTTTCAGATTCTATCAGCATATGTGTCGAAGCTGTTGTGCAACGGCTAGTCTTGGTTTGTTAAATTCAGAACTGGATTAATAGGGGAAGCTGTGGATCAGAACCAAGGCATGCTGATGCTGGGAGAACTGCCAAAAAAAAAAAAAAATTCCTTTGAGTTGGGGTGCTCATGCATTGACAAAGTCTTTTCAGGAAGGACAGTGAGGATTCCAGCATCAGGGGTTTGCTGAGGGCCAAGGTTCAGCTAAACTAGCAGAGCTGTCTGAAGCAAGTTTCTAAAGCACCTGCTTATTTTGTTTGTGGCACTGGAGCTTTTAATCCATATTTTTCTGGACACTAAACATGTAAAACCTTTGGAAAATATATCCAATGGTGTTAAACTTTAAAGTATTTCAAAATCTAGGCTGAGTCTATTTGTCTAGTATTCTGATCTTGTTGCCAAATGCTTAAAGGTAGTACTTTGAAAGTCACACTTAATTTCTCCTTGTCTCTTAATTGATGTCTGACTGATACTTTGGTTGGCCACAACTGTAAACTTCAGCTTCACTAAGTTGCCTCTTTTTCCTTTGAATTATTTTCCTCCTCCTTTTAGTGTTTTGCTTAACCTCTTTATTTCCTTATCTTCAGTGTTTAATAAAATTCTTTCTCAGTATCTTCTTCTCTTTAATGACTTCCCTTGATTGTAACTTTCTTGCCTGGGCTTCCTCTTTTTGTAATTGCAGCTCCTTATGTCCCCTCTTTCTCCTGGCATTTAATCGTGATCCTATCCTCTGTTTATGCCTTTGTTGGCTTCCTGTCTCATAGTACAGCTCCCTTCTCAGATCCTAAGTAATCTTACTTGGTCTCACTATCTTTATTCACTGCCATAGCTTTCTATAATTTTCTTGCTGCTCTTTTGGGCTTTGGCTACACTAGAGCTATCACTGCTAACCTGTGTTTGGATGCCTCTGCAAGCCTGAAGGCTATCCCAATTTGTTAACAAATTGTGTAAATTTGCTGCGATATTTGAGCTGTATGTTCTACAAGGAAGATCCACCTGTCATCAGCCAAATCAGTCTCCACATGTGCTACCTGCTCTAGATGACACATACTGTATAGTAATTTTCATAGTACAAGCAAATTTCTACTCTTCTGGTACAACATGAGATTTCTGGAATTTCCTTGTCTGTGTAAGTCGCTTCACTTACCTGGATTTATTACACTGCTTTTTGCCAACAACTATTTGATTCATCTCTGGCTGTTCATTATTGGAAGCTTGTGGAATATATCTGAAAAATCACAAAAGCAGCATGCTATTCACTGCCTCTGGGTATCTGAATTCTTTGAAATATGGATACTGCCACAGCTGAACTTCTTAATGTGGAACAATCTTGGTGTATGATTGGACGTGCAAATATCTTCCTCAATTGGATACAGTTTGCTCAGAAAAACAGTTTTGGGAGAAAAGCTAGAATGAGGGCTACAATCGGAATGAAGCACACCGACTGTTCCAGGAAAGGAAAGAGACCTCTTCTTTCACAATGGACGAGGATTATCTTCTTGATACTTTCTTCATCCATGGACTGCAAGATGTTCTTGAGTAGGGCTGCAGCTATATCACTGGATTGTAGGAGACTTGCATGGAGGAGGCTGAGGAGTACACTCCTTTTGTGGCATAAACAAAGACATCGTAGCGCGGAGTCCCCATCACGATCTTGGGAATAAATCATTTCGAGCTACACAGTTGATGGCAGCATCAAATAAGACTGAAGAAGCCACCTTTTGAAGTGTGCTGGACCTTCTGAACCAGGTATGTGGTTTTGTGTGCAGTGTGACTCAATAGTTCCTATCTGTGTGTAGTAAGGTTTCTGGGGAAAAGATCTAAGCAGTTTTCTATTTCATATCTACTATGGTGTGTATTGGTTGTGACAGCTTAAAATGCTGAAGCGCAGAAAATGGCAAAGCAACAAAATTTTTGCAGGAAAGTTTATAGTAGGTACTATGGTTTCAGTAGGAATGTCAAGTTTGTAATGTGTATACCAGTGCAGGATACTTACTGCAGAATGGACTGTGAATAAACATATGTTAAAGCAAGGCTGAGTATGTTATGCACAATTACATAACAGAAAACTGCTATTTGTGCCAATGGTATTGAATGAAATGTGAGTTCTCCAGTGGTTTGATCACTAGTCAGTGGAGAGGGGCAATGAAGAAGTTCCCTATCCAGGGATTTTGGTTGAAAGGTTTGGGGGAGATTTTGGAAAAGTCTATGGTAAAATAGTTTGGCTATACACCATAGTGGCATCTATGCCATTAGTTGGATAGATCCTACCTGTGCATTGCATATATACTGTTATTTTCCTAAGCTTCTCTAATTTACTTCTAACTGAAAAGATGTTAGCTTGCAGTTTTTTCTGCCAATATGAATGTGTTCACGTGGATTGAGTTAGTGTGTCTTAAGCTTCCTCCTGTTAGTAACAGTAGCAGACAAACATTTGCTTTGTTTTGATTTGTGAAAGTAAGGTGCTAGTACGAATTTAACTTGAATGCTGGTTGGAAACTAGTACTTGTTAGTCTTAACACATTAAAAGCTTTCTAAACTTTGCTGAATCTTCTGAAATAGTCGGAAATTGTTTCTGTTTAATTCATTAACTACAAAAAGTATTTCCTTGAAAAACAGAACTGACCTGCCTTGAGTTCCTGATGCCTTTCAGAATTGTAGGTGTAGTCAATTGTAAGATGCTAAGCAAGCCTTCCTGTTTTTTCCAGTCAATTGATTTCTTAACTGGGAGTGAAATAGCTGCTAACTAGTCAAATCAGAATGAAAATATGCTGTCCTCAAAAGAGACTTCTGCAGCCAAAAGCAGTCTGGTCACCAGACTTGCTGGTTCTGGTTGTAAAGCCAGTGATTTTTATCTTTGCAATGATTTTTCTTTTTTCTTTTCTTTAAAATTCAGTGGCCTAGGTACTGTTTGTCACATGAATAATACGTACCATTTCAGTTGCTTGTGTTGCTTTAATAGAGTATAGCCCTCTCAGACCTTAGTGTCAACTGTTGCAATTTTAAAATGCAACAATAAAAAAGCCTAGCTCCTTCACATTTCTTAATTGCTTTGCTCTTCCACCAAATAATATAACTTCATACACAGCTGTTCCAGTTGCGTGGCTTTGCCTTGTTCTCAGTTCCTTGATTTAGCAAGCTTTATTCCTCTTAGCACCTTACGTTAGAGGTGGAGAGAAATAGTAAACTGCTACATTTATGACCAAGAAACTAACACGTTTTAAGCATGGTTTTGTCCATGTTTCTCCTACTCCTGCTTCTGTGTAAAAGGAATACCTGGTCTTAATGCCTGGTCTCGAAATGTCAGTTTCCTCTGGTGCTTTTAATCCCACAACTGAGTAGTTTGGTGCAACAATTGATATTTAGAAATATATAGGAAATTACTGGTTTTTATTCTTGATATAAATAGTATGGTGTATACTGTGCATAAACCTTATTGACTTTCTCTATATTTCTCATTTCAGAACCTATTCGGTAGCAAGGCAGCAACTGGGAAATGTTGGTACATCCATTGTGTGGAAGGAATGTGACCCATCTGGGAATGACAAAAGCAAAGTGCTTGATAAATCCCAGCTCAGCTTTCAACAATTGGGAAAATGTGGGGGAAAAAGTCTGAAAGAAAACAAAACTTAAATGGCAAGACAAACTTAGTCAGGAAGACTGAGAATTCATCAAGGGCCATCTCTGATTAAAGAAACGAGACTACAGAAGAGACATTCAAACTTTTGATGAAGTTCTTGTAGGACTACCGGCAACTTGCAGTTAGTGTAAACAAAATCTGGTCATTTTCCATGTTGGCACATCTTGTTCAGGTGGCTTCCATGGTTTTTGCTGAAGAGGATTTGTATAACTTAAGTGGAGGGTGTCAGCTAAACTTAGTCCGTGAATCAGTGATATTGATGTCTCTTAATGTCTTGCATCTGATAATAGATAAATGCTGATAACACTTGATGTAGTTACTTTTGCTTGGATCTCAAATCCTCTCCCAGCTAAGGAATCAGTGATAGTACATTAAACAAGTATGTTATGCTTTTTTTTTAAAAAAAAAAAAAAAAAAAAAAAGTGGTCATGTCAGTAGCGTTGCCACTTCAGCTCTTGCAAGACCTGAGACCTTCCGGTACATGTGCTCCTACCCCTATTTTGTAGAGTTGGACAGAGAGTAAATACCAGATGAAGTGGTACTGTGAGATACACCAGCAGTCAGTCCACCTTGCTTGTCTTTCAGGGCCGTGTTCTACCAGCCTTCCCTGCATGAGTTCTGTCTGTAGTTGAACTATCACCTGAGTTCATGAACTTCAACACTGTGGGAAGCAATCACTCTGAAGATGAAATCATTTATTGTCCTATTTGTAGGCTGACTTTATGTCCTTATTTGAAAGGACCAGGATTTGTAATACTTTTTTTTAGAATTAGTTTCTGAAATGTTGGTGCTGTGCTTACTTGACTTCCTCCCTCCTTATATGCGCAATATCTCTTCTCTGTCATCATGCCACACATTATATATAGATAGGAAAATTATCTATCGCTTCTTAGGATTGGGTTTCTGATTTATTCTTGGGATTCAAGAGGTGCACACAGATTCATTTACAGGTCCTGCAAGTCAGGATATCCAACTACTCATATTCCTTAGAACTATTAAACATGTCATAAGTGATAAACATACATATGAAACATTTAATATCTAATACAGCTCTACAGTATCTAGCAAGAACTTTTGATGATACTGTTGCTCAAACAAGTGCTGTTTATCCATGGTGGCAAATCAACTGCTGCTGCTTCTTAATGATTGAAATCCTTCTTCAGGCAGTCTCGTACCTTCTGCTGAGATTTCTTTTCCCTGATTCTGAAGTTGCTGTTTAGTTGTGTGCCTCTCAGCAGTTCTTGTGCTCTCCTGTACAAATCCTAACTACTAGTTTTACTATGGACAAATAAACATTCTGCTCAGGGTTATGCTTGAGCTACCCGGGATGTTTCCTGACTAACGTTCAGGACCTCCAGTAGCAAATAGCTGTACAGAGAAGGAACATACTGTCTGACTTGCTTCTCATTTGAGAATATGCTCTGAATGTGGCTATACTTGGCAAGAAAGAAGCTAATGAACTTTGGCACTGTTGCTGTAGTGTTCTTGGGCCTTCAGGAGCCTTACTGGACCTACTGTAAACCATGCATTCATTTCTTGTGCAGTACCAGAGCGCAGCACGCTTGCAAGCCTTGCCTTGCATAGTATGGGATGTGGAGAAGGAATTAATCTGTGAAAGAATGGATTGTGGGTATGATACCACATCACTTGATGTAGGGCAAGCCATTTCATTTTTGGAACTGTATCTACCTTATACTGGTGCATTTGTTTTCTTCCCATTCCTACCTGAACTCCGCTTGACTGTGATAACTGAATTAACTCTTTTTGCTGAGCAGTCTTTCCCTTCCCTAAAACAAAACAATATCTATTCTTTATTTTACATGACTGACTAAAACAGACTTTGAGAAGCTCTTTAAATAAGTGAAATGCCTTGCAGAATTATTCTGCATCTCTGAAGACCTCATGTGTACATGTGTTAAAGCTCAAGATAATCATTGCCTATGGCTAATCTCAAATGACCTTACTAACAGGTCGTTGCTGTTCATCAAGTACATTGTGAAATCTGTATAAGGTATTCAGTGTTACTTGTGAATAACATAACTTCTTAAGAAACAATACGGTTTTAACTGTTCTGCAAGGGTAACGTGAGTCCTTATTGTGTTTTCATGTTAACGACTTAGTTGTGTACCTTTGGCTACTGCTAAAGTATCTTACAAATTTAAATTCCTTTGTGATACTAAAAGCATGTTCCAGAGGACCTGGTGTTTAACTATGAGGTGCCATCTGCTGAAGCTGACTGCAGCATGTTTTCAGTAGATGTCTTAAGTATAGCATAATGATGCTGAACTTTAAACTCTTTAAACTGTAAAATGGATCTTGTTTGGGGATATATTCAAAAGACTGCCGGGTCTGAACACTTCGTGACTCTTTCAGTAGTGTCATGCAAGTATGAGGAATATATGCTTTTAACCTAAACCTTATTTTCATCTGCTGCTGTAGATTTTCTCAGGTCATTTAGTACGACAACTAGTTTTGTATTCTACCAGTAACAGAGGACAGTAAGGAAAAAGTTAAATTCATTTTTGTTGGACTTGCACACTGAAACCTTTGGTTATGGTAGTATGAGCAACGAATTCAGTTGAACATGTTGGTGAGCTTAACTTCTTTATCTTAAGTCTTTACCTTAATGCACATCCTGTGTACTCTTCTCATTTTTACTTCATCTCACTGTTCACAAACACTTCTTTTTGTTTAAGATATATTTTTATATACTTGCTTCTGTGCTTAGCATTGCTTTGTATATAAAGTGTGAAATCTAATTTTTCAGTCTGAGAAAACTGGGACAGGTAAGGAATAAGGGACTGCTTTGAGGACTAATCTGGGGCAGAGGACAGTGCCCTATAGTCTACAAGACCAGGCTAAAATAGTGTCTTTATAGCAGTGCTCTGCATGAATAGAGCAATCTTTCTAGGTAACTCTGAGGTCACTTGTATTTCTGCTAGACACTTTTGAGATTAAAATCTACCCTGTTAGGTCTGCATTCAAGGAGTTATCTGTCGATGATAATTGTTGAGGTTAAAAATGCACCTTTGTCCAGGGAAGACAAAGCCCAAGTTCCAAACTGGTACACAAGCATGGCACATACTGTTAAATCAGTATGCAGTAACTGTATTGAAATCTGTCCCTTGACTAAGAGAAGTTAACCGTGTAAAGATTGAGCTATGTAATGGTGTTACTGTCTTGAACTTGGTGGGCCACTGAAATTACATTTGTATTTTGATTTCTTATCCTGTAGTCTTTACTTTGTTTGTTGATAAGTTTAAGTATTTAAATCTATATTAGACAACTAAATATAAAGTGAATATGCAGGGCATGCTTTCACCCTGCTTACTATGCTATGTTAGCAAAATCTTAACAGGATGTGTTGGCTGTCATGTTGCAGCTGCTTGTAGTGTTACCAAACTGAATAGGCAGCTGGGTTAGAATGTGGCTATTGCGCAAATCAGTATTATGTCTATAAATAGGAGGATTCCATGAAAATATGCAAGATGTTCACCTTTCCCAAAGGACTGAATATGCTACTTCTATAATGTAGCTTGCCATAACAATCATAACAGTATCGCAGAAGAAATTTGTGCATTAAAATATTGAGATTAATGATTTTCAAATGCATTGTTTCTTACATGGATTGTTTTTAATGGTATTTGTTATATTTAGCCATATCCAGAAGATCCAGCAGTGTACAAACCACTCTCCCAGGAAGAGCTGCAAAGGATAAAAAATGAAAAGAAACAGAAACAAAATGAGAGGAAACAGAAGATATCAGAGAATCGCAAACATTTGGCCAGTGTACGGGTTGTACAGAAGAACCTTGTCTTCGTGGTAGGGTTATCTCAGCGCCTAGCAGATCCAGAGGTGAGCAGTTCACACTTGCAGATCTTGCTCTTAACTTACTGTCAAGGAACTGTTGGAATACCCTTGTGCCCACCCTTGTCTGTCTCCCTGATGGGTACAAAATGAAGCAGCATTGAAAAGGTTCACTGCTGCTGAGGCCCCCTCTTCTTAAGGGAATCTACTCGGCTTCCTACTCCAAAATAAACTCTCTAAGTGTTTGTCTTCGCTTTTGGGAGTACGGATGCTCTATTTTTTTGTTAAGGAAATTGTTCCTTGTATTTGTTTAAAAAGCTATTTTGTTAAGCTAAAAATAAGCCTAAGGATTTTTTTAGGTATTCATTTTCCTAGGCTGGATCTGCTGGCACTAGACAGCTGTGTCATGCACAACCAATTCTAAAATGGGAGCTTGGTTGGATTATGAAGAACAAATATAAAATGTAGCACAAACCTGTAAGGACAGAAGAAAAAAGCCAACACTTGAAGTGCAACTAGGAAGGAGCATAATGGTGATGTTAGTTCAGGGGGGAAAAAAAAAATTAGTAAGAGGAAGACCCAGGAAAGAGTTGGCTTGCTACTCTGCATCATCCAAAAGAAGCTTTTCATTTGAGAAAACTGATTTGTGTTTTAAAATGGTTTATTTACTTCCATCATCAGTCAGCTGCAGGTGGCTAATGTAATTAGTGCTAATGAGTAAAAGTACCTTGAATTAGAATATGGTGGGAATGTACTACAGGATAAGATAGATGTCTTCAAAACTACTGTGTCAAGCTAAATTCACCTGATTGGACTAAATTTTCTGGAGAAATCTAAAATATAAGTGAGTATGGGCTGCATTTTGGTAGACTGGGAAAGAACATATGTAAAAAGCTGCTTTTTGTGGAGGGGAAAAAAGAGGGGGATATGAAGGGAAGAGAAAAATCAAAGTTAAACTGATCTGGCATATAAGACTTCAGTTTCTACAAGAATATAGCAACAAGTATTTGCAAGCAACTGTCAACACTGGCTTGGTGCTATTTATTACTGAAAAATATATTTGATTTCTTTGACCAGATAGAGCATTTGTGAGTAAGAAAAATAATAGTGTATACAGTTAATTTTTTTTAACCTCAGATAATTCCACGCTGAATACTTGAAGTAATAAGATATAGCAACAAGATGACTTGATTTCCAAGAAACCTAGCCTGAAAGAGAGAGATGGACTAAAAAAAAAAAAAGTGTTCAATATATTCAATTTAAGTTTTCCACTTAAGCAGGGAAAAGAATCCTGCACAAATGAAGATGATTTGGAAGGGCAGATTGGCTGATATTTGCTGTTTTGGGAAATAGATCTGTGGATCATAATAGAGTACAGGTGGATCCACTTCTGTTGCATGCTCTTGCAAAAATTGTGAAGGCCATGCTGCCATAATCTTATCAGGAGTATAATCTGTAAGACACTTGAAGGAACTCTTCTGTTTTACTCAGGATTGTCAGGCTCTGGAATGATGCCAGAGGGTGGGTGTAGGATCTTTCAAGATGGTGTAGATCAAGTCAAGAGCAGTCAGAAGAGACCAGTGAGTGACTGGTTGTCTATACAATGTGCCCTGTAATTCTACAGGATGTTCCAAATGTAATTAATGCTGTTGGATCTTGAAGACATTGATGCTCCCTTGAGAACGGAGAGGAGGTGGCTAGGTAAAGAAGTTCTTGGGTCAGTACAGTTTAACTGTACTATCAACTGTTAATGTGAAGATGGAGCTGGGGAAACAAATCTTCCTTTTCAACCTTTCAGGTTATTGTCTAGAACTAGAAATACCCTTAGCTTATCTAGCTTCAGTCTGATTCTTCTGCACCTCCTTCCATCACGGGGATAGAAAAAGAAAGGCTTTTGGTACCAAATTATATTTGATACCAGATATCTGGTATTATATACCACATATATTGCCAATTCTATTGGCACACAGGTAAATGTTATTCAACAGAGTTGCTTAATACACTAGAGATGTTCCTGCTTTGCACAGGTTCCTTAAGTGGTGTGTTACTGCTAACCGATGCAGGGAAGGGCAAGACAGGAGTATTTATTTTTTTTTTTTCTTTAGGATGTGATATTCACTCATTCATTTCAGCGTGATGTTGGTTCTGAAATGTTTTTTTCTTGCCCTTGGGAAGTGTCATATATTACATTCCTGTACTTTGGTCTTCTGAAAACTTGAGGTTATCTTGAGCTAATTGGTTTACTCTCTTTCTCTCTGGGGTGGGGCGAGTGTGTCATGATTCAGTGTTTTGTTCCTACCAGTTAATACAGCTGAATGCAAGTTTAAGGTGGTTATTTATTTTAAAACTGGAATGAATGTGATTTTTATTTTTTCCTCAAATTATAAAATAGATACATCCCATTCAGCACAAAATATTCCTGTATGTATCTTGCCAGGGTAGGGTTTGGGTAATCCGAGTACTGAAAGAAATTTAAAAAATACAACATAAATTGTGGAATATCCTTCATTTAAGTTCTTTACTGCAGTGGCAACGTACTCTATATTGCAAATAACCATGTTTTACGTTGGAAAACAAAGCTATGTCTACATGCTCTCCTCCTCTTTGTAGAAGAGGCCTGTTTTTTATTAGTTAAAGGCTTTAGTTGCGCAGTTACACAGAAGAATAAATACAGCCCTGTATGAATTAACTTTCCAGTACACCACTTTACTTTCTTTCCTTGTAGGTTTTGAAACGACCAGAATATTTTGGGAAGTTTGGCAAAATACATAAAGTTGTCATTAATAACAGCACCTCATATGCAGGCTCACAGGTAAGTCAGAGGCCCTCTTGATTTTTTTTTTTTTTAATTCCTTTGGAGAAAATACATGTGTGCAGCGTGAATCTGGGGCTCCCTATTTCTGATTAAGCAACAGGTTAAAGAAGTAAAAAGAAAAAAAAAAGAAGGCATTGCAAAAATCAAATTACTGTTAAGTTACTGAGGTGTTGTCCAACTAGACTCTCAAAGTTGGATGCAAGATGCAATGTAGAAAGGTTAAAAACTGGGAGACAGGATGAGAACCTTCAAAGAAGCAGCAATGCAGCATTTATTCACTAATCTGCATTTCAGGGATAAAATAGCTTCCATTTAAGTATTTTTAGAACTTTCAAGGACCATTTTGATGCATTTCTTCTTTTCCCCATTCTTTATGCATCACATATAAATTTTTATGAATTCTACCATTTTTCTGAGTTTTCCTGTTAAAAACATCTAGCTGTGAATATACCAATTTATGAAGTGAGCTGCTAAAAAGGCAACTTAATGTTCAGATCTGTCCGGGGGGGGGGGGGGGGGATATGGTATGTTTCCTTTCTAGGGTCCAAGTGCTAGTGCATATGTAACCTACATCCGCTCAGAAGATGCTCTCAGAGCCATACAATGTGTCAATAATGTGGTGGTAGACGGCAGAACACTTAAGGTGGTAATATTTTTACATTCTTATGTATATGTGCTAGGACACTAATATCAGTGCATAGTATAAAATCTTATTTGTATGGATATGTTTGTGTTGATGAACAAAAATGTGCAGTTTATTGGGTATTGGGCTTTGACATATTTTCCTAGCATTAATCACAATGTGAAAGTTCAGTGAGCTTCCAGCAGGCAATGTTAATAGTGGGTTAGCAGGTAACTTCTTAAACAGAAGTTTGAGACAAAGACAGACACGTACCACCTCCCCCTTCCCATAGTGGCGCTTTTGCTGTATAGCTTAATAGCACAGTGTGAAAACCTGATTATTTGCTTTTACAGAGCATTTCTGTAGTCCAAATACCACACCTCTCAAAAGCTCCCTGGGAAATGCAAGTTTTTTCCTTTTGGTATCTGTGTAAACAGGTATTCAGGCTGACTTGGCCAAATTGGTGGCTATAGAAAATCATCTAGTTAATATTCATTTCCTGACCCTGCTACAAAACATTAACCAGTTTCATGTAATACAAACTCATAACTACATATTTGGCTTCTTATGATTATGAATGCAAGATATTTACGGAGGCTCTTATTTTGGCATTTATTTAGATTGGATGAAAATAGAAATACACCCTAATTCTCTAATCCTCAAGTATATAGACTTCTTACAAATGGACTTCCTAGTCCATATGCATCAAAAAATGCATTATGATGGAACTCTAAATCTTGGAGGAATTTTTTTTTTGCAAATACAGCTTTTTTTCTTACACTGTAAAAGGCATTCTTAACCTCCAGTACTGAAGTAATGTTTTTTTTTTTCTTCAGGCATCATTAGGTACAACAAAATATTGCAGTTATTTTCTAAAAAATATGCAGTGTCCAAAACCAGACTGCATGTATCTACATGAACTGGGAGATGAAGCAGCCAGTTTCACGAAAGAGGAAATGCAGGTAAGTGTAATGAATGGGAAACACATGAAATGTGGGATATATAATTTAGTCTAATATGTGTATAATGTAGCCTTTTGCTGAATTTTATGGCAGAGATGAATTTTGAAATCCAAAAGGTGATTAACCAGTTGGATATCGGAAGTGAACAGTTAAATTTTTTCATTGCGTGCTCCTTTTAAAGGCTGAAAAGTCTACTGAATGTTCGTGAGTCAAAAAGATGGAGATAAACTCTTAGCCAAGAATTCAAATAACCTTGAGTTACCTACTTGCCCTTTGTTCATACCAATGCAAGGTAACATGTTATTTTAAATCTCTGTGAAAGAAGTTAGTGCAGATCTGGGTTTTCCTGTAGGTTTTTGTGTGGCCAGTTATCACGGCTTAACCATCGTACTGTGATTTGACCACACTATCTGAATTCTGACATCCCTTTTAACCTGTGAAGGGTATAGAAACCTTTTGGAAATAAAACATTGAGGGTAACCGTAGTAAAGCATAAATACTGATGTGGGGATTTTTTTACTATCTCAACATCAAAATGCTTATTATCTAGGGTAGGGAAGCAAGTAAATTGATAGCTTTACTTTCTCAAATGTGGTGCATTCAGAGGTCTTTTGAGTCTGTACCTCTACCTGAGGTATGATAAAGCTTTTGAACTCAATCTTAAGTATGCCAGCCTTGCATCCATGCTGTGATTTTTTGCCTGTGGTCCGTCCATAAAGCAGGTGGTCCCCATCCCTAGTGCTAGCACAAATGTTGTACAAGTAGATTTTATTTCATGTGTTAGGCTGATGTAAGCCAGAGAATAAGGAAGAATGTCCATATCTATTAAACACTTTTTCCACAACTTAGCAGTTATTTCTGAGGGTTTCAGCTACATTTTCATAAATTAAAAAAATACCGTGCTGGTTCAGGTGTATAGTCCCTGTAGTATATATTTTCTTGCAGATAATGGCAATAGGAGATAAAATTCAAGGAGAACGTCAAACCAGGCCACCTTCTCTGTTCATTTCCCTGTATTTCTCCCACCACCTAGATCTGTTATATTATACATGTTTGAGGGTATGTTCCTGTCTACACTTTTTAGTTTTTTATACAGCTGTCAGCCATGAATTTATTTAATCCATTTTGAACCTGCTGATACTGTCAACCCTATAGTCTTTTGTGTCAGCAAGCCCCAGAAGTTCACCAGCTGTTTTGTAAAGTGCTTTCTTTTGCCTGTGTTAAACTGATCTCCAGTTAGTTTTGTCAAGTGTCCTCTAATCTTAGCATTGTAGTACTTGCTGGAAGCAAAACCCTTATTCACCTTATCCATTGCCTTTGTGATGTTGTAAAACTTGATCATATCTCTCTCAGCCTTCTCTCCAAATCACACAGTTTCTGGGCTTTTAAACTTCTTTGTACAGCAGTTTCTCCCTTTCTGTGATAATTTCTGGTGCCCTTCTGTGTACCTTCTAACTGTGTCCTCCTTGAGATGCAGAGGTCAGATGCATCATACTCATGATGTGGGGAAGCAAAGTTTAATACAGCAGTCCTCAATGTTTTGTGTGTAGTACAGTGTGGTGTTTCTTGTTTTGGTTTGTTGGTTTTTGGTGGGTTTTTTAAGTGCCCTTCCTAATGATGCCCAGCACATTTTTTTGTGTTTGATTGCCAGTGCGTAATCAACTAACAATTTCAGAGATCTCTTGGCAGTAACCTCAGTATCTCTTCTCTGAGCTGTAACAGCCAGTTCACAGATCAATAAAGCGTTAATATGGTTTAGGCTACTTTTTCCTTGGCATGTTACCTGACTTGTCTCTGGTGAAGCTTGTTTGCCGAGTTCTCTGGGGTTCTTTTGGAGTTCATCCCTATCAGCACAGCAGTTTACTACCCAAAGAGCTTGGTATTGTCAGCAAAGAACTTGCCTTTTGCTCCTTTCTCATGCATGCCGATGGTGTTGCATAAAACTGATGTCAGTCATCAGTCCTCATCGTTTGCTTCTGCACCCTAGGAGTGTGACCAGTAAGTCTTACCTTTTCCTTTCCGTCTTTGAAGCAGCTTCAGTCCACACAAGAACCTTTCCTCTGTGCCAGGGCAGCTTTGTAAATAACTTCTGGTGTGAAACCTTATCAAGGGCTTTTTTGAAAATTTTGTGGATCTTCTTTATTTATGCTTATTTGACACTATTATAAAATTCCATCATGTTAGTTAAGTAGGATTCCCCTTTACAGATGCTCAGATTCATTCCCAGCAGATTGTGTTTATCCATGAACTTCTATCTGTTGTGTTTTGTTTTGTTTTTGTTTTGTTTTGGTTTTCGTGTTTGTTTTTTTTTTTAAGATAGACTTAATAATCTTAGGAGGGATGGAGGTTGAATTTAGCAGTCTGTAGTTCACAGGGTCTTTTCTACAGCCCTTTTTGTACAAGGCAATCGTACAGTGCAATTGTACAGTGGCAATCGTACAATCGTACAAGGCAATTGTACAGTGGCAATCTGTCCTCTGGCCTAACTGCCAGTTAAAATTGCTAGGCTATATACCTTGGCCAGGAATTCAATTTCACATATGAGTCCCTTCAGAAATCTTGAGTGGATTACACTTGATCTTGGTGACTTAAATGAATCTTCCTTTCCTGTTCTTTGTTACATTCCTTAAACTTTCTTCTTGATTTCATATTGCTTTCTTGGAAATCATTGGAAATTACACAACTGTTAAAGTGCATTGTGCTTTCGGTGCACCAGCTTTCTGGAGTTTGGGTTAGTGTCAATGAATTTACAGGTCCATTTAATGATATTGAATGTTCGTTGTCACAGACTTTGACAATTTTATTTTTTTTAAATAGAGAATCAATGGATGAACTTACATTCTAGGTTCAAAATTGTTAATAGAGCTAAACATTGTGACAAACTGAAAAGAACTGGTAGAACTTCAGGAAGTCTCTGAAAGTGAAGTTGGGAATTTAGGTAAGGTAGTTTGGAGATGCTAAGTTTGGCCTCTGGATTGCTTGTTGTAAATAAAGCACGATTACTGCAAGCTCCTATATAGGATTTTAATCTTTCTTAGATTTGTGTGACAGGTAAGTGAGCTTAGGACTGGCCTGATGTTCCTGGCCATGACGTTCAGTCTTTTGCCACTGAAGTCTTAGGCAAGATGAGATATCCAGGGAGGCTTCTTCTTACTCAGCTGCTTAATGTTTGCAGTGCAGATCTGTGCATCTGAGCTACTAGCTTACATTCTATTCATAGCGGATGGCAAAAGAAGCATTTCCAGGGTGCAGTATGTCTCATAAAGTTTCCATTTAGGTGAAGCACACTCTAGAACCACACTTTTTCTACTGTAGGTAGTAGCTTGGGTGTAGACACTGACACAGTTAGGTAAGATGATATATACACCAGATGTTTCAGTGTCCTTTTTTCAGGGTTGTGTAGGTTGACTACGTAGAGAAAGACGTTCAGAATCAACCAGTAATGGACAACTGGAGAATTAAGTAGAAAAAAATTGAGATATTCATAGCATTTGACTGACTTGGAGTATTCAAATGGGATATGCCTTTCTAAAGGAGCCCATAAGGGGATTTAATTTCTCAGCAGTACTGGCTTTTGAACTTTGTCAAATATTCCTGCATAATTTTTTTTTTAAAAAGCAAGTAATGGTTTCCTTTTAGGTTGTAGTACTTTTCTAGGAGAATGTCCACATTGCCTGTGTATCAATTCCGTTCCTGTTCCAACAAAACATTTATAAAGGGGATGAATTAAGTAATGTACAAATGTTAATTTTTAGGCATACACGCAGTGTGAGAGCTTTTAAATCAATACTGAAGATGTGATAGATAATAACATATGTGTTCCAGACTTAAGATTCAGGAGGCCTGACCATAAATCTTGGCACTTGTTTCCTCTGCTAAAGGACATCTCTTAGTACCTGGAAACTCTAGATAAAAGCTATTGACAACTTAAAATTCACTGTTCTATTTTGCATCTTGATTCGACTCATTACAAAACTTAACTTGCAAATAGTAATTCTTAAGTTGGAGTGGTATAGTAACCTACAAAAAATGTGAATGCTCATCTTGAATTTGTTTCAGATGTCACTTTAAATGTTAGGGGGATTGGATCTTGCTTTTTTTTTAATAATTTAGCCACAGAATGTTATAGGTAAGCTAGACATAAAAATACTCTCTTCCTTCACTCACCAGATTCAATATTCTGGCATTGGATTGGGCCTTCTCAATTTCCAAAAGCAAGAAATTGTTATCAATTAATTAATTCAATTAGTTAAAAGAATATTTCAATTTTTCACTTAAGAAGAATGATTTATCAGTTATTGCTCAGAATATCCTCCTTGTCACATGATAGTTAATACTCAGACCACCTCAGCTGTTTTTATTAAGCCTATATAAAATGAATTCCATTTTGCAATTTGTGATTTAAAAGACAGACTCTCTTTGCTCCTTCCCATCTTCTGCAAAGCTTAGTATGGTTGATATATTAAATGCAGACTGTCTTGGAGATTTAGCTATTTGTGATTTAGAAGGTATATTGTGAAGCTCTTGATTAGAACTGAAGAACAAGTTCTAATAAGATTGTAACTATTTTTCTGCTTTAGAAATCTCAAAAAAAAATTATAAATTGGTAAATACATCCAAGTGATTTCTAGGCAAGCTTTAGATTAATTGAGATCATGTCTGTGCTTAGATTGAGAAGCACTGTTTTTGAGTTTCAGTCAGGAGTGACCTATTAAGTTGTTTAAGCTCAATTACTAAGCTTTGGAATGTAGATGTATATATAAAAGATATTTTTAATATCTATAAAAATATCTATTAAACCAGTATTCATTCATTGTGAGTTTTTCCTTCCTTAGGCGGGTAAGCACCAGGAATATGAACAGAAACTACTGCAAGAATTATACAAACTAAACCCCAACTTTCTCCAATTATCTACGGGTACAGTTGACAAGAACAAGAACAAAGTGACAGCACTGCAGAGGTATGATGCGTAAGTACTGATGCTGGACTGCCTGGCTATGCTTTCTTTCTGGTTATTCCCAAAGAAAACTTTCTTACTCCTATTGCATCCCGTTGCCTGTTCTTTTTAGTGGCTATTATATGATAAAGTCTGATATGTTTTCTGTGTGCAGAGACATATGGGCCATTTTGTTCTAATACAAAGTGAGTGTGAGTCTTAGTAAGGAAATGTTTTTCTGCGGTGTGCATTTGGATCACTAGTTCAGAATGAGGTGGTATTATTCTGAATGAAGACCTTGTATTTTATATTTGCATAAATGCATAATATTTCTTAAAGACCAGATGTCAGCTTTCTTGGTATGGTGTCATGATAAATGCAGCCTGTACTCTCACAAATGAGGCACCTTATAGTCTTGATATGTGTGTTTTACGTCATGATTTGTAGTGCAGTCCTTAAAATAGGTGTAAGGACCTTGGAAATTGAAAGTAATATCAGTTTTTCTTTTGTGTAAGAATTCACAAGATGTGAATAAAAGATTTCTTGCTTTCATCTAGTGAACTTAAATTATATATTTTTCACTATGTTGTAATTGCAGGTATCACTTATTACTGCTTGTTAAAGTAATACTCTGAAGTAGCTTGTTCAGTAAGTTACAAAAAGATTTCTGTCCATATGAGTACATAGTCATGCAAAGATAAATGAAAGCCTAAGGTCATCAGTCTGTATGTGAATTATCCACTCAAATGTCATTTAAGATAAAGAAATAAAAACTGTTAACAATTTCCTCCACTCCTTTTTGTAGGATTTTCATAATGAGATGGGCAGAGTGGAATGTAAAAGTTAATTGCACTTCGTATGCACCTTGGCCTTGTAACCAGTGTTTGTGTTGTGTGCCAATTTAGCCACTACTGAATTTTTCAGACAATAATTTGCCACTGGCAGCACCACTGCACAACTGTTTAAGCAAGGAAGTGGGTACTGTATATAAAATATTGCCAATGGAGCTTGAATAAGCAGAATATAATTCTGAGGACTGGTATCCCAGATGGCATACTGGGATTATTTTCTTTAACTTCTGGAGGAAGTGTCTCATGCTCTTTGACTGCAAGTGGTCAGGACCTCCAGTTGGATCTGTTCTTAAGGACTATGCCACTTCTTACTTCTTGGGCACTGCTTCAATATTGACTTAAAACGTAGAGTGCAGTGAGTAAAGTAAATAGACCAGTTCCTGCATTTGGGTATTGATTATTTTATGTTCAAAGTCTGAACTAATCTTAATTTGAAACCTAATTAGATCCCAGCAAAACAAATAATACCGGTGAGGTCAGAATGCTCTGTCTGAAACTGCAGCATACTTTTAAGCCTTCAGAAAGCAATTATGAATTGGAGCTTGGCCAGTCTGTGGTGCTAACGTTTTGACACTTGTGGAAAAAATGGTATGTTACTCTAAAGGCAACAAGTGGTCTGGAGTTAATCTCTCTTGTCAGCTGAACAGCATCATCACAACACAGACTCTGTTCTTTGCTAAAGGCTAGGCACCACCTTTTGGGTTGTAAAGTGAATTTCTTCTTGCAGCGGGAATTTTGAAATCTTTCTTCAAGTCCTGTCTCATCAGTACAAAATGTAGCTTGTGAGCTGGTGAACGCGTGTTGTTCTCCTTCAGAGCTTTCTACCCAATCAGGTTCTCATTTTTGTCTGATTCATTGATACGATATTAATATTTCTGGCAGTTTGTCAGAGCCTCTGACAATTTTGTGGTTGTTCTTGTGTTTCTGGAGTGCAGGATTTCTGTTTCACTCTGGAATTGAGCAGAAGTTGAGTTCTGAAGAGTAGATGTTAATTATAACTATCCAGTAGTAGAAAACAGTTTCTTAAGCTGTGCATAAATGCTTTTTCACCATTGTGTTCTAATTTGAAAGGTCCTGCTCGCAGACCTTTCTTCTTGCTGCTGAAGGCAAATGTTAAAATCCCCCAGTGCCACTTTATGTATGTTGGTACTCATCTCTTGGTATGTCACTTGATAGTCATGACTGCATTGTCTTACGAGTAGAGAAATATTCGACATTTAAAACAGATCAAGCTTTTTTTTTTTTTTCTTTTGCCCCTGCTGACCTTTTCCTAAAGAACTGAAATGAATGCTTTCTTATGCTACAGGTGGACACAGTTGTTAAGCTCTTGCTGGTCTTTCAGAGAACAGCCCTTTAGAAGCATGAAGCTTTGAACTTAACCAAAACAAAAAAAGCCATGCACAAAACCCCACCCCAAAACATAAAACAGTTTCTTTCTCTCTACCTTTCTCTTTGGATGCAAAACTGACTTTTAGCTGTGAGATTTTAAAGTTATTTTTAGTATAGAGATGGCTTTGCACTGCAGCGGACATAAATTTTGATATTTAAAATAAATCTGTTAACAGATTGAAAGTCTTGTTATATCTAGATACAGCTCATTTTTGTAAGGGTGAGAATATTAAATGATTGACATTGCATGGATAATGCCATGTCTTCTTACCTTGATGTTCAATACCTCATCAATTTGCTATCTCTAACTTATTTCAAATATGTACAAAGCAGAGATGAGATCTGTAAATCAGGTCAAGGCTCTCATCTGTGTACATATTGTATAGGTATATGAGAAAAGATGGAGGTAGAATAGCAAATCTTGTAATACTAGCTGAGATTTGAGGGTAGCTATAATACCAATTTTATATGACTAGGAGTAGGAAACGCTTGTGTTGCTGTAAGCAGCTATAGGAATTTCCAGATTCTGTCTGTGAACTCAATAAATTGACCTAGAGATGTAGCGTAAATGTTGGACCATGTAATAAGAACATATTAATGAAGGGCGGCATCAGGAGGAACATATGCATTTAAAAAAATTTTTTTCTGAAAGCTTGTTCCTTACGAAGACAGCACCTGGACACTAAAAACAGTATCCTAATTGAAGCAAATGAAAAGCTAAAGTTAATATAAAAGAACTGGAGAACACAAAGGCAAATATTTTATAGTAAGATTGTAGGGTTAGCGGATGACACTGTATTTGAATGCACTCAGTTATAGATGATATTCCAGCTGGCTTCAATTTATATAAAATTTAACTATTTTCAGCAAATACTTGGGCTTTGAGTCCTCTCTTGAACTTCTTTCAGATCTAATTTGCACTCTGAAATGAAATTTAATGTTACTTTATAAAAGGGAAGTAATTATGGGTTTAAACTGGAAATGAAGTTACTTGAATGAACAGTGTGTTGGTCTGACTGGTCTCATGGTGTGTTAGTAAAGCTGTGGACTCTTGTGTAGGTGTAAAACACAAACTTCATCTGTTGGGGCTGGGCCTGGTAGGGCCTGGAATATAAAACATTTTTTCAAAAAAGTGATTTAGTTCATTATTTACAGAACTTAAATACTTATGGGATAAAGCAAAAAATTCTAAATGAGGTGTGCGTAGGTCTGAATACTTGAAGCTGTTGATGGATTTTTGGTTGGTTTTTTTTCCCTCTCCCACAAATGGACAAGTTTGGACTTCAGCGTTGGCAGAGCAGCCATCTATTCAGTGAAGAAAACAGAATTCCCCCCAGTTTTCTCTCTCCCCTCCCTACGCTGCTAATTCTTTTTTTTTTTTTAAGTCATCACCATTTAAAATCTGAGAAATAATATCCAGATAAATCTATTCTTATGGATTGTCTGGCACAAGGATTCATTTCCTCAGTGCTTACAATTTTTAAAAAACACTTTCTTCATAACTTGAACTCTTCTTTTTTTTTTTTTTTTTTTTTTTTTTTTTCTCCACTCTTGCCTTTTTCCAGACCCAACAGTAATAACAAAGATGCCTGGCCATCATTACAGAGTTCAAGTAAATCAGCCAACGGTTTAACAATGGAACACAGGAAAACGCCTCCTATATTAGAAAATGGCACAGACCCAGAACACATGACTCCAGATGGTGCAGACTCAGATTTCGGGTAATTGTGCTGCCTTTTATACTTCAGATAGCTTGCTTTCTCTCTCACTGATTGGTGTGGAGGGAATGATTCTCCAGGCTCTCTCTCTGGAGAGCTGGATTCAAATCCTGATCAGGTCACAAAAAGCTAGGCTTAGCCTAGCCCATGTCAAAAAGACTGATTGGCAGATTGTGCAGGAGAAACCTAATGTGAAGTTAGTAAGTGATGGTACAAGTAAAGGTTGAGGGGAACTGAATAACTGGGGGATCAACAGCTTATGTAGCTGCATGGTCCCAGCCAGAGCTGAGCCCTTCATTTCTATACAGAAGCTTCCACAAAAGTAACAAACTAGTTGCTATACATCAGGAGGCTTGTCACTTGGAAAAGCGTCAACAGAAGGAAGCTAAATATTAGGGCTGAATATCTGTCATCTCTTTACAGTAGTGTGTTCCAGAAACACAACTGCAGAGGTAAGGCTCCCTGATTATCACTCAGTAACAGGAACAACAGGGCAGCAGATTCAACTGAGGCTTCTTTGTGCAGAGGAAGTAATTCATCTGCTTGCAATAACTTCCTTATTGCCAACCAACATTTTTCCACTTTTGGTGCCCTCCTTGAATAGAACTGGTGTCCTCTTCCATCATAAGAACCACTTGCAGTTCCGATGGTAGTATGTAGTCATGCTGGTTTGTTTCTTATGGACCCCCTTAGGTAATATCAGTTGGGCTCATTCAGAGGTTGGATGGGAAAATAACAAGGTAAACACTAACATTTCAAGAAGTGGTGTTGCCAATTAGGTAGCTGATCTTTGTTTTAAATCGATATTGAACAGATGCATTAATGTTGTGAGTGCTGTTAAAAGTGGTAACATCTTGTTAGGCTTAATAGCAGTCTTGTTGAGGCGTGATCAGAGATCCTGTGGTTGCATTTCACTAGTGACATGCAGCTTCCTTCTTATCTTCTCTGAAAAGCATGTACTAAATGTAGGTAAAAATATTGTAGCCAATAGATAATGAATCTTGTTCATTCCTGAGGGCTGGAAGCCCATCTTACAAATAAAGGCTCCTTAAGCAGGTTCAAGTATAATAAGCATTTTCAGCACTTAGATTGTCATTAAAAGTTGTCTTACACACAGCTTTTTAAACTGCAGCATCGTGACTTTCTGTCAGCAGCTTTGGGAAAAGAATTCGCCTGGAATATCAGCTCTACAGTCAGTATGATTTTGTAGTGAAGAGACTACAGCAAACTTTTGTGCTATAGGTGTTCAGAAATTACTAACCCAAGACAGTTTGTTCCAAATGGAAGAACTTTATTCATGCTGTTCAACCACTGACTAGAAAGTATTTCTAAATCTTCACTAGTGATGCTTGTTTGCAAGTATATTCCTCTGATTTTTCTTTTATAGTCGTAAATACTTCAGCCTCAGTTATCTTTTTGAGATACCAACTCAATCAGTGTTCTTTTGCACAAAAATTGTTTTTTATTGACAGATTACTCATACAGTTTCTTTAGAATGGAGAAGAATGAATTCTGCTGGGTTTTGACTCTAGTTATTCTGGGATGGGGAGAACAAATATGGGGGGAAACAATCTTATGAATTTTTGACCTTGATATGTGACTATGCAGTATTTAAACTTTGCAGTGGCAAGGGGTCTTTGAAAACAGGGTGTAGCTAGAATCCAAAGTCCGCACGCAGTTAAAATATTTTTTTATATATTTTTTTATATATATATATATATATATTTGTCTTATGCTAACACACCATGCCTGTAATTTGACTTGTATCACAATGTTCTTAATGGAACTGAAATTCATGTTCTTACTTCTGGTCCTTGTTTGTAGGACTGGTGTTTTGGGCTGTGCAGCCTGATGCTTGTGCATCTTCTCTTACGGGTAGATAAAAATGAAAGTACCTTGAAGTTGTAAAGCAGAGATTTTAATCTGAACTTGAAAGTACCTTGAAGTTGTAAAGCAGAAATTTTTAATCTGAACTTGAACTAATACTGTTTCATTAGTGTGGTATTTAGCATAATTAAGGTAACTCACAGATACCTGTCAGAATCTTGAATCCTGAGACATGCCATTTCAGCCAAGTCATATTAATTCCCAGTGAATAGCTTTCTGAGGTGGTTTTCAGCTTTATCTTATCTTTTATTCTCTTTATTTGTTGTCAGTTTTTTATGCTATGTCTTTTCCTGCGTTTTTCCCCTTCTGTCATCTCAAAGCTCAGTTTTCTTACCTTGGATCTAACTTCGGCTAGTTAAAGCTTGAAGGCTGGTGGGAAGCTTAACTTGCCACCAGGACTAAATGGTTAATTCAATCTTTTATCTTGCCCCAGATTTATTTAGGACTTGTATGGGAACTGACAACTTAGGTATTTGGAAAAGAAATCTTTTCCCAAGTTTCTCTCCAGTAGTAGCATAGATGGAATTGACTACTATGGAATACTGCCATAGTATGAGAGTCCTGTTTTTGTTTTTGTTTTTAATTGCATAGAGTTACTATGAACATGTTTAAAACTTTCCTTTTGCTCCTAACAGGGCAGTCAACAAGCAGAGTGGACAGTGGTGGGAAGAAGCATTACAGTATATGGCAAATGATTGGAATGCTTATGATTAAAAAAAACAGTCTCATAAATAATAAGTGGACTTTTTTCCTTCTTAATTCCTCCTAATAAATTTTGGTTTGTCTTTATTTCAAGGCTTTTCTACCACTATGAAAGCAAATGTTGATTTTCACATTAAATACTTGAGTGTCTTACTGTCTCTTTTCCCTTCCCACTTTTGCAGCCCTATTGACAAACCTTCAGATTCCCTCAGTATAGGAAACGGTGACAGCTCCCAGCAGGTAAGACATAAAGATAAATGCTGTGAAACTAAGAATTAAGTTTGAGGGTTTGGTGCAACTTGTAGTTGGAAAAGCAAGTACTTTCTGAAGTGTATCATAATTTTAAAGAGAACTAAAAAATGCTACTGCTAAGTTGATTTTTATGTTTGACCTTGTACTGAGCTATATTTTAACTAACCTAATTGCAGCCAAAAGTTTTGAGGAAATTTTTCAACTGTATTAGTGAAGAATTTTATATGTGAATGCTCATGTCCTAATTGTTTCTCTTCCTCTCTTACCTCTAGATAACAAACAGTGACACACCTTCACCACCACCTGGTTTAACAAAACCCAATCCAGTCATACCCATCAGTTCATCTAATCACAGTGCACGGTCTCCTTTTGAAGGGGCTGTAACAGAATCACAGTCGCTCTTCTCTGACAACTTTCGGCACCCTAACCCCATCCCTAGTGGGCTTCCTCCATTCCCCAGCTCTCCACAGACTTCAAATGACTGGCCCACAGCACCAGAACCACAGAGCCTCTTCACATCAGGTATGTACACAGGTTGCATGGCTGGGTATTGCTAGCTTTTGCAACTGATGTCTAAAACTGTGTAGAACCAAAAACTCTAGGACTTGTTCCATACTGTCTTTTTCCCCTTCACGAATGATTAAAATTTGTTGTTCAACTACAAATGAATTGCACTGATTTAAGGGTTTCTTCCAAAAGAAACTTTACAGAGTTTTCCAGCTGCATGGCTAAATTATCAGAGTGCTTATTTTAGTTTTTCTTAGCCATGTGCCTGTCTAAATAATAGGATGTGACATGTATGCTTAATATTTAATGTTACAGGTTTTTACTGAGGGGGGGGGGGAAATACGTGGTGGCAGTATATGTTGGTGTAATAATCTGTTCTAATCTATCATTCTAACATCAGAAGCTGTGCAGTGGAATTAAGAATTTTCTTTAGTATCCTGCATAGTTATCTGAAGGTGCCAAATCTTTCTCTTTCTGAAGTGAGATTATATACATTCAGAAAAGATAAAAATGTCGTTAATTGCATCAGCTGAAAGATACCTGTATTTTCCAGGTACTTTCCTATGAAATACAACTTCATATGAATGAAATATCATTTTAGGTGTATTTATATAGTCTTGGGAATGGTTAACAATATTTAAGAGCTCACAAATTATAAATTGGAGGGAGCTGTTAGAAAATTAAATGGAATGATATCAGTAATCAATAGAATGTAAACAATGCTTTAGGACACAGTTTGTTTACTTAGTGATTAGTTGTCTTCTGATGTTTATCTGACTTCTGGATGTCATAATCCTGTTTGTAAACAATATTTATTACCAAGGAAATTACCTGCTACTAAGGTACTATACACACTGATTTTGTGAGGATTAAGTAGCAGTGAGAGACAATTTCCAGGTAGTAGAGATCTTGTTTGTTTCATAATTGCTATTTAAATAAGAATAAAAGAACAATTTTTGTCTGTCTAGCAACTCTTTTTATCTATCATGATGGATTTTAGAGTGAAAATAGAAGTGTAGATTTTCTTTTCTAAGAGAGGATACTGAGCTTAATTTTAACTACTTAAAGCAGCAGACCAGGTTCCCTACCAGCAGAGGGAGTTAATGTTATGAGCAATACTACCTTGTACTCATCAGCTTGCATTACCACAATTGTGAGGAAAAATACTGTGAAACGAGACGCAGCATTCACTGAACCTGAATAAAAAAAACTTAAAACAGTATAATGAAATGAAGTAGTAATTGAAAATGCAGGGAAATTCTGATAACCCTTTTTTTTTTCCCCAACACTGCCTCAAAGTATTTAACAATATCGTGTAATGCAGTTCCTTATTTCCTTTTGTTTTATCAAGGTATCTGCTCAAGAATTTGTCTTGTTTTTCTTCATAATGGTAGACAGTGGGGTGGTTTGGTTTTGGTTTTTTAAAAACTGCTCAGAGGTTCCCCCTTTGAGAGGCAACATCTCCTCCCTACCTTTCTCGCACAGCATTAATACTGAAAGCAAAATACTGAACTGAAAAACAGCCTTATTTAAACTCTGCTTGGTCACACTTCCATCAAGTAATATGGGTGTAAAGAAGGTTCTAAGCAAGTGTTTATTGGTCTCTTTCTACTTGGTGCTATTACTGAAAATACTTATTTGACAAGACTTTTCTGTAGCTCAGGAACAGAGTAATTCTGCAGTTAAAATACTATTTGCTAGTCATACCACTTCACCTTAAGTAGAAATCTATGGTAGTTTGATCTGAAAGTGTCATTCTAAGCTGATGAATAAGGTGTCTTTGGGGAATCTATAAAGAAGTATTCTATGAAAGATAACTGGAAACATTGATTCAGATACACTGAGGCTAAAATTTTTGTATGGATAAATACTTACTAATTCTTGTTCTAAGTCCTGTTCTTCTCCTCTCTGACAGAAACTATACCAGTATCCTCCTCCACAGACTGGCAAGCGGCTTTTGGGTTTGGTTCCTCCAAACAACAAGAGGACGACTTAGGGTTTGACCCCTTTGACATCACCCGCAAAGCCTTAGCAGACCTGATTGAGAAGGAACTGTCAGTCCAAGACCAACCTTCCCTCTCGCCCACATCTCTTCAGAACCCTGCCCCACACACTACAACTGCCAAAGGGCCAGGCTCTGGATTCCTGCATCCTGCTGCACCCGCAAATGCCAACTCTCTCAGTAGCACCTTTCCAGTCATGCCACAGAGGTTCCCACAGTTTCAACAGCATCGAGCAGTTTACAACTCCTTCAGTTTTCCAGGCCAAGCAGCTCGCTATCCTTGGATGGCCTTCCCACGCAATAGCATCATGCACTTGAACCACACAGCAAATCCCACCTCAAATAGTAATTTCTTGGACTTGAATCTCCCACCACAACACAGCACAGGTCTGGGAGGGATCCCTATATCAGGTAGGTGAATTGGGACAGCAATGAATATGACTTAATTCATGCTATCAGCTTCTCTGAGCCAGGACAGGAAAAGAGAATAGCCAGCTACAAGTGGTAGAGTGGTATCTCTTGACTGTTATACTAGGTTTATGAACAGAGGGAGGAATATTGTTTTAAATAGGCCCTTTTCATTTTTAAAAAAGAAAATGTATCTGGATGTTTAGCCTTGTAATATTGAGCTTTATAAGGAAGGTGGAGTATTCTGTGCCCGCTTAATTTTGTGCCAAAACAGACTGGTATTTTGGTTCTTCAGTCTTGCCAGACTGGCTTTCCTTAAGAGTAGGCCCTGGAAGCGTATTGCGACTTCCACGTTGACATGCAGGTGCTAACCAGAGTTCTTAAAACTGTGCAAAAAAAATTGTAATGATGGTAATTTGTGCCAGATGTCTTGGCTGGTTTGTTCCCTCTTGTGCATAACCAAATGGCTGCACAATAAAACATTTAGTGCTGTTCATTTCTGTACTTCAGATGGCCTTAATATTATGCTAATCTTTCACTGAATGGATGCTTGCAATGTGTGTAAGAGGATTCATCCTGATTGTGAGGGTTGTGATGTTGGAGGAAAATAAATGTGCAGTCAGGCCAGTTCAGGCTGCCCTGAATGGATTGTTAGGCTCTTGCAGCAAAAGTTACAACTAAGGAGCTAATTGTAACAATAATTGTATCAATTAAAAATTAATTTCTGGAGTTTGAAGGCCTTCCATGCTTCCGATTTAGCTTGGCTGAAACAGGTTCTCTTTTCCTAACATGGGAAAAAAATTGTGTTAAGAGTATAATGAACTGCAGGTAGAAAAATCTCTAAGCTCTTTGTAGCCTTGAGATGGAGAAAACTGCTTCTTGAGATGTTGCCAGTATTATTTTCTTTTCATGGGTTTTGAGAAGTCCTAGCTATACTATAAGGAAGTGACCTAGAAGAAGTCACTGTGTGTTTTTGATGCTCTGGTACAAGAGCTAATTTTGGCTGTTACTTCCCTGTACTTTGTCCTCTTTGAAGGCTGGTTGAAGCTACAGTACTGCTGTAGGGTCCTTGGGCTGATTCATAGTATAAATGCTTGGTCCAGACTACAAATACAAGTAGTTCAAAACTCTTTATACTGGCAGTGGCAAAGTTTTTAGACTAAAATGACTGGTATTGGTTACACTGAAGTGTTAATTTGTTTTCTTCCTTTTTTTTTTTTTTTTATTTTTGACATGGATTAAAAAATGCAGCATCCATAGCACTGCAAATTGTTGCTCGCTTTCCCCTAAACTACATAGTGCTTCAGGAACATCACAGGACATTAAGTTTCAACTTTACCGCTCAATTCTAAAAGTTGCTAGTTCAAGGAGCCAGTAACAAGACTATCTTCTGGACTGCGGGGACCAGAAAAATCCTTTCATGTCGAAAAAGATCTGTTTGTAGTACAGGTTGATTCTAGGTTTGTGAAAATATTCTTTAAATTGCATTACTTAACTGCCTTTGGCAGTTTGAAAGTGGACCTCTTTGTGTCTGTAGAAAACTCATAGATCCTTGGTATGACTTCTGAAGAGCTACTTGTGTGGCATTCATTGATGCACAGCCCAGCCATGTACTTTCCCCGTATGTTTTAAGGCAACAGAGTTGATATTTAAGTATATCCTTTTTTGTATGCAACTGCTAGAACCAATTAATCTCAAAATATTTTTGGCAGATACAGTGCTAAAAACAGAAAATAAACATCTGCTGTAGTCACTATGGAAAGTTCGTTTGAGCTGGTCTTAATCTCTTGTTACAGAAAACATTGTTAGTTGCCTGGCTGACAATTAGATAGCAGCAGTTGCTGCAGTGCAAACACTTCTCAGCTGATCTACATGTCAGCTTTGATATATCTTGAAAAAAGAATCATTTGCACAAACACAGATTACTCCTTTTTCTTTTCCTGTTGTCAGAAATCAGCTGAAATCTCAGATAGTTCTGGTTTTGTTTGCTGAGTTATGGATTTGTATGGTATTTATTGCCTAGAGTTTTCTTTAGTCATCTAACTGCTTCGGAAGTACAAATAATTTGAAAGTCAGGAGATGCCCTCATACCTCTTTTTTGTGTGCTGACTTAATAGTTTCCCATTTATTGATTATTTTGTCTTTTCAAATCTGTATCTAGTGTGCAGGTGTCCCAACAAATTCCTTTTATTATGTTTTTTGAAAGAATATTTATGCTTGCTTTTAATCTATCAGTAGCAGGTATACAATGATAGAATTTTCGTAGTTTCCTCATTTGATTTACAGGTACAGCTGTCTGGTGGGGTTGGGGGAGGAAAGTGGTGTACAAGTACAGAGAAATCATGTCAATGGGACTTTATTACAGTGCTTTATAACAGACTCACTGACCTGCTAGAAAGGCAGTACATATAATAGCCATTAAGCAGTACAGAGAGATTAGTTGTAGTATACTTGAAGGTCCTTTTTGTTGGCTCTTTTGTTGGTCTATATTAGGGTGTTTTAGAAAATGTCATCAACTCAGCTGTTTCAGATGTAACAGCAAAAGAAACCTAGTGCAGGTGAAACTTCACATTCTGTCTTTTAGACACCCTCAATTGCTGTTGAAGTTGTATGTTTCCTAAGGTCTTTGATCACAATATTTTTACAGGACTATAAATTCCTAAAGCAGATAATACTGGACAAGTCGTTTAAACAAAAAACAAAAAAACACACACACAGGCACACACAAAAAAAAACCAACCCCCCCCCCCAAAACCCAAAAAAACCCACAACAAACAAAAAAAACCCCAAAAAACAAACAAAAAAACCCCAAAAACAACCAAAACAAAACTGTGTATTTGCTGGCTCTATTTAATCAACCTTTTTCCACTTTTCTGTTTCATTTATGTGAAAACAAGCAGATCTAAAAACTTTTGTAACTTTAGTTAGTATGCTATTTTCCAGTCTTTCTAAATCCAATTTCAGTTGATTTTTCACTAAGCGTATTTGTGTTTTGGAAACTTGTATGAAGGAAATAGTATCTTTTAAACTGCTGCTGCTTCTTCTGCTTTAGGTAGGCATTAGTATTCAGATGAATTTGAAATGCTCATGTGTGACATGTCAAACGTGTAGTGTTTTGAAGCCACCTTTTGTTTAGTCAAGAATCGGAGCTGTGCTGTATTCATAACCCCACAGTTCTAGGTAGGACTGTTTTGTGATGTGCACCAGATTTAAATGGAGTGACACAGGCACTACGTACTTTTTTTTTTTAAGCTCATTTAAAAAAAATTTCTATATGGAATTTGGTAGCCCATTTCTCAGAGGAAATAGTATTTATTAAACTACTTCTGCAGTTTCCAGTGAAATGACACAATAACACATGATTGACTTCATAATTTTATTATGCATATACTTGAAATGTGTCATATTCATCAGGCATGCATTTGTCCCCAACCCACATTTAAATGAATGTTTGATTGACTGATTCCCAAACTAGCATTTTTTTCTCCCCCCACCATATGATTTTGCAAACCATAGCAGATGTTACATGTTCTCATTGTAAGGGACAATTTAGGCTTGTTGCTGTTTTCTGGTGTGGGATGGATTAGACGATTTACCATGTAATTATAACTGTGTAACTGGGCTTCAGGAGAAAAGTTCAGTGACTTCTTATTTATGGACAGCATGATTGTTGCTAAAAGCAGTCTTACCCTAGATTGTGTGCAAACCATCCTAAGAATATAGGACAGCAGCCATCCTTTATTCTGTAGATAATGCCAAAGGGAAAATTCACTGACAGCAGTGTGGGGGTGTGTGTGTCTGTCTGTATTTTTGTTACTTTAGGATAACAGGAAACTCTTTGTAATTTGATAGCTAATATGCTATCATCTTTGCTACCCTGCTGCCCGGCAGTGTGTCCTAAAATAATAGGTGTAGTATTGGATCAGAGTAAAGCAGGTCTCAGATTAACAGTGTGTTTTGAGACAGATGCTTATAAAATGAGATGCATGCATATTAATAATGGGAAAATAGAAATATATAGTTTTATTTCTTGAGTTTACTGAGTGGTCGGTAGTCCTTAGTTTTAGTACATACAAAAAGTATAAGAACAAATTCACTCAATTAAAAGTATGAGGAAAAAGTTGTAAATGGTTAGTCTGCCTTTCCTGTCAGTTCTATGCAAGATGAAGTATTTGACATTTTGAAACACTGGCTGTCATTTCATTTATTAATTTCATAATTAACCTGAGCATAATTCCAAATGAGAAAAAACTTAATTGTTAGAACTTACCAATTCAATAATAATGAGATAGTTTGAAATTTGAACTCTTCCAAGACTAATGCTACACAATATTTGTGCGTATATTCTTCCCACATAAACCATTGAAACCCCTTGAGTTGGAAGACACCCACGAGGATCATAGAGTCCAGCTCCTGACTCCACACAGGGCAGCCAAAAATTAAACCATACATTTCAGAGCATTTCCCAAATGCTTCTGAACACAGGCCATTTATGTATATTGTGCATATATTGGAAATCTAAGATAGAGGAAATAGTCAAGTGGACACAGAGATATGAAGCACAAGGAATTAAACCCTGGTTAGGGTAGGGGAAGAAAAAAGTTTTACCCGTTGTCTTTGAAGATAATCACTGTAAAATCCATCAAGTTATTTTAGCCATGAAGCCCATTGATGTGGAGATTGCAGTAGACTTCTGTAAACTGTTCCTGAAACTTCAAAACAGGGGGCTTGAATGTCGTAAGTCTTGTAGTTGAATATCATTGACAAATCAAAATTTTGTTCTCTCAACACCTTTTTGTTTTGATGTTGTGGCTTATATATCTCGAATATGCACAGCCTAATTGATGGCATTATGTATATTTAAAGATGAGATTGAGACAATAAATAGGTAAACAGCTCTATTAAGTTTGGGTGCCATCCAGCAGTCTTTGTGGTAGTGGTGTTGCATTCCTTACCAAGGCACTGATTAGCATGCACATTTTTGAGTCTTGCCTGCATTTAGG